CAGGCTGCAGACTCCAGGCTCCAGGCTGCAGACTCCAGGCTCCAGGCTGCAGACTCCAGGCTCCAGGCTGCAGACTCCAGGCTCCAGGCTGCAGACTCCAGGCTGCAGACTCCAGGCTGCAGACTCCAGGCTGCAGACTCCAGGCTCCAGGCTGCAGACTCCAGGCTGCAGGCTCCAAGCTGCAGGCTGCAGACTGCAGACTCCAGGCTGCAGACTCCAGGCTGCAGACTCCAGGCTCCAGGCTCCAGGCTCCAGGCTGCAGACTCCAGGCTGCAGACTCCAGGCTCCAGGCTGCAGGCTGCAGGCTGCAGGCTGCAGACTCCAGGCTGCAGACTCCAGGCTGCAGACTCCAGGCTCCAGGCTCCAGGCTGCAGGCTGCAGGCTCCAGGCTGCAGACTCCAGGCTGCAGGCTACAGGCTCCAGGCTGCAGACTCCAGGCTCCAGGCTGCAGACTCCAGGCTGCAGACTCCAGGCTCCAGGCTCCAGGCTGCAGGCTCCAGGCTGCAGGCTCCAGGCTGCAGACTCCAGGCTTCAGACTCCAGGCTCCAGGCTGCAGGCTGCAGGCTCCAGGCTCCAGGCTCCACTCAGCGTGACTCATATGCAGATGAGTTGAACAGGTAGGCGGAGAGGAGCGAGCAGAGGGGAAGTGGTGAGGATGCTTTACGCTCACAGCAGCTCAGTTCTCCACCGTCAGCCTTCAGAGCAGCGCCGCTCCTCAGGTAAGACTCCCGTCCACTCACCTGTCCGGGTTTCCGTCTCTGTCCTGACCCGTCTGAGGGACAGAACACAGGATCCACCCGGCCCGCTTCAGAGCGTTTGTCTTGCGGGACGAAGAAGAGCTAAAGATGAGATGACAAGAGGAAACCAGCTGCACTTCCTCAGTCAGAGAGATAAAACAGCTGAAGTCAGCCTGTTTTCATCTTTTCATCATAAATGCAAAGAAAACAGCTGCAGTTTGAGTGTGAACAGCTTAAATGTTCACCTGCAGCCGCTGAGGTTAAACAGTGACTTTTATCGTTTGTTTGCTGTGAACGCCCAGTTCAGTCTGCCTGTCAGAGCTTTAATCAGCTGCTGGACTTACTTTAGTTTCCTGCTCCTAAAATGAGCCGACGTTCAGCAAACACTCCGTCCTGACTTTGATTCTACGTTTTGTTTACAGTAAAACGGGTGTGAGCTCCACAATCAGCGGCCTGGATCTGTGTTTATTGTGACAATAAGTGCAGCAGGTGGGCCGGTGTTAACACCGGGATCATTTCCTGACAACGTTACAAAGTTCATTGTGTTTTATAACCTGCTGCCTCGCTGAAATGTCAAGTTTAGATCTTTTAAAGTGGTGTTTGGTGGAAACACTGTGAGCGATTATTATCTTACCTGCTGCAGATCGCACTTTGAATGACCTCAGTTTGAAGAAAAAACATTTCAKTCTGACCAGATTAGTTCAGACTTCAGCCTGAAAGACAGCAGGAGAAAATATTCCTTCTAGGAAAGTTAGTTTCACTTTGAAATATGGGTTTAGGTGAGGATAATGAGCCAAACAGAGGCTAAAATGAGCTAAACAGAGGCTAAAATGAGCAGAAAATAGACTAAAATGAGCCATATAGAGGCTAAAATGAGCCAAACAGAGGCTAAAATGAGCCAAACAGAGGCTAAAATGAGCAAAACAGAGGCTAAAATGAGCCAAACAGGGGCTAAAATGAGCAGAAAATAGACTAAAATGAGCCAAACAAAGGCTAAAATTAGAGGCACAGAGGCTAAAATGAGCAAAACAGAGGCTAAAATGAGCAAAACAGAGGCTAAAATGAGCCAAACAGGGGCTAAAATGAGCAGAAAATAGACTAAAATGAGCCAAACAAAGGCTAAAATGAGCCAAAGGCTAAAATTAGCAGAAAACAGGCTAAATTGAGAGGCAAAGAGGGTAAAATGAGCCAAACAGAGGCTAAAATGAGCAGAAAATAGACTAAAATGAGCAAAACAGAGGCTAAAATGAGCAGAAAAAAGGCAAAAATGAGCAGAAAATAGACTAAAATGAGCCAAACAAAGGCTAAAATTAGCAGAAAACAGGCTAAATTGAGAGGCAAAGAGGCTAAATGGGAGTTAAAGAGACCAAAATGAGAAGATCAGATTTCACAGAAAATGTCATCAAATTGGAGGTAAAGATGCAAACATTAGAAAAATAGGCCAAAATGTGTCAAACAGAGGCTAAAATAAAAGGTAAAGAGGCTAACATTAGCAGTAAAAGGCTAAAATGAGCAGAAAATAGGCTAAATTAGCAGATAATGGGCTAAAATTGGAGGTAAAGAAGCTAACGTTAACAAAAACAGGCTAAAATATGTTAGCCAGTGGCTAAAATTAGCAGAATAAAACTGGAACCTAAAAGCAGACAAACAGGTATTTAAGTAGCAGTTTTGATGGTCAAATTAGCATACGTCTGTAAAAGCTGAATGAAGCAGAACAACAGCTACAAGCTAAAATAACACAGTAAATAAAACCAAGTTTTTGTTTTAATCTGACTAACTCTTCTGACGTCACACTTTAGAAAAGACTGATCTTTAGCTGCTTTCTCTTCAGAGTTTAGAGAAAGAGAGGTGAAAAACAAAGAAAAGAAGAGACGACCCCCCCCCCCCCCCCCCCAATCACCCAGTTCTGTTTTCCTGAAGTCAGACCACAACACCACATCCTGAAGCACAAACTAAAATTAACGCTGCTTCTTCGAGCTTTCTCAAAACACAACAGAAGAATTGACTCTTCGGGACACTAAAAAAAAAAAAACAGGTGTTAAAAGAGAGTCTGTCAGTGAGAGGGAGGGGGTTTATAGAGATGAAGTCATATTTTTATTGTTTGTCCAAAATCTGAAATGACTGAACTGAGGTCTTAAATCTCTGAGAACACAATAAAAAAATAACTTTATTAACAAACGGGCACCAAATCCTCTGAGAAACTACGGTTGACTCCATTCAAAGGTTTTCTTTTCATTAAACCAAAACAACAGCTCCAGTTTTTAAAGTAGCTTTTTGTGTAAAAGTTACAAACAGTTAGTATCTTACCTCAGGTAGGGCCTCATGCTGCACCGCGATGACTAAAGTTAGCTGCTGATGCTAACTTTATCTGGATGCTATTTGCAAAAATCATATACTGTAAACATTTTTTATTTGGCTAAAAGCAGCAAAAGCTTTCTGATGACTAAAAGTAGCAAAAAATTAGATAAAATATACAATTTAGCAAAAGGCTGGCTAGATGCTAATCTAGCAAAAGGGTAGTTAGAAGCTAAAAGAAGCAATAAACCAGCTAAAATAAACAACTTAGTAAAAGGCTGGCTAGATG